CCAGTCACTGGTGCTACCCAGCACCTGACAGTGCAGCTATGGGACACCAGTAACTGCCCCCCTGGCCCACAGAGCCTGCCCAAACAAGGCATCTGCTTCAAGGTGAGTGTTCTTGGGACCGGGAAGCCTGGGAGCAACAGTCTCACCTTGGAGGGAGGGTAAAGCGCTATGGCGAGGGACAGCATGTGGCATGGCAACTCCCACAGCTCTCAAAATAGCTTCCTTGAGATGTGCGTCTTCTCCCTGGGCTGTTCTTGGCCCTGCCCCCCCCCCCCCCGCCCCATGCTTCCCTGGAAGCTGGGTGTGAACCGGTGGGAAGACGACTGTACTTGGATTGGAATAATCTGACGGCAAGTGAAGGGACTTCTGTGCCAATAACCGCTTGCCGTGCAGTGGAATTGCCCTGGAGAGTCCCTCTGGGTCGGAGGGCTGTTACAGTTGGAGGTCTTGGGATGCCTATTGCGGGTGAGAGCTCTGCTCGAACAAGGCACAGCTCCATTAGCCCAGCTGCTGGGAAATGATGTGACAATGACCATGTGGTAACATGGCACTGGCTTGATTCAGCACAAAACCAATGGCTGCCTGTCCCCTTCCCCCAGTGCAGACAGAAAGGTCACTACGCCAGCGAGTGTGAGAAGACTCAGCTGGAAATCCTGCTGGGGAAGTGACTCGAGTGCTCCCGCATGGACCGTGGAAGGAGAACACCCTAAAGCACGATGGAGCCAGCGAGACAGCTACTAGGGCAGTTGCTGAACTAGAAAAGCCAGTCGGTTTTGCTCAGCGCCGGCTCTCGCAGCTCTTTGCACAAGCAGCAGAGAAATCACAGCTTCCCTAATGCAACTAAAATCGGACTCTTCCCAGCTGCCGCGTTCCCTCCTGGGTGGCTGGCTGCGTATGGACTGGGGCAGCAGGAGTGGTCACTGTGCAATCGCAGGTTTGAAGGGGTGTGGGACCAGCTTGTGCTGAGGGCCTGGGCAGATGAGGGTCTGGGTGTGCTAATCCCCTGTGAAAGGGGGCAAGAAACACCATGTTTGAGAACACACAGTACTGAGAAGGAAAATTCACAAAGGCTTTTATTGCTGGTGAGAGGGAGTTTTTGGTGAAACACCTCTGACACAGTACTAATGCACTGCTCTTTATTTAAAGAGTTCAGATATTTTTTCCTTGGCTTTTTTTTTTTACCCTTCATGCCTGTACCATGACCAACCCTTTTCCAGACATGTTTGGTGATGGCAGGCTACAACTAGCACTCTAACTGTCCTCGTTTGTCTGATGCAGACATCGGTTTGCCCTTTGGGCACAACAACTAATTCAATGGATTTTTCTTCCTCCAGAAATAGGGTGCTGCGGTCTGAGTGCTGCAGCTTTAATGCCTTCACAAAAGTTCTTCCCACAGTGACGCAGTGGCCGAGGGCCCTGCAGGGACCACCCTTCTGCCAGTTTACTCACCCCATCGTGCTTGCTGTGGAGAGGGGTGAGTAAAAGATGGGCTGTGCCGGGCACAACTCTGCTAACTTAAAGGGAATTATTTGCCTAATGTCACCCTGCCACAATCCATCACAAACCTTACTGCCAAACACTGATTACAATGTATACATGTCAGTTAATCTATAGAACAGCCTGGGTCAAGGAGTTGTCCTGTCTGGTGTCCCAAAGTGAGAGATCTGGGCTTCTGCAGACTACAGGAACTCTACTGCAAACAGATCTCCGAGGGGCAGCTCTAACGCTTTCTTCTTTCAGTACTAAATACTGCCCGAACTGCAGAGCAGTGACTGTCAGTCACCCCTCTGTCTGCAGGGGGGTAACTGGGAAGCAGCCCCCTCAACAGCTCAAGAGCCTTTCTCTGACAGTAAATGGGCCTCTACTGACTTCAATCCATGTTGGGACAATGGTCCTGAGCACTTCTGCTGACTCCCATATATTCGTGACTGTTCCTTGGGTGCTGTTCCCGCTTCCTCAGTGGTATTTACGCCAGCGATGACACCCTAGAAAAACAGGGAGGGGGGGAAAAAGCTAGGCTGGTGTTAGTGTGCTAAGTGTGCTTTGCCCAGCAGTGATGAGCAGGAGACTGACTGCAGCCTTCTCTGTTCACGTGCTGTAAAGCTGCACATGACAGCAAGTCCTGCTGGGGAAACTACGCAAACACCGGTAAATCCCTTGGCAGTTATGAGTAAATCCAGGGAATGGGTGTTCAGTGTTGGAACATCTCCTCCCCCTGCTCTGTGCAGGGTTTAAAAGCACTCCTGATGGTTCCTGGCGCTCTCTGGGGAGAAGCAGTGAATCAGCAACTGTCATCACCGCCTTTGTTAGCTAAATTCCTCTGCCTAACTAAGCCAGGTCAGAGTGCTCTTCTCTGAGCTCTGGTATTAGTCTTAACTGTGAAGCACTTAAACTATTTCAGAGTTTGAACTAATGTGAATGGCAAATAGACTTTCCACCTGTGGCAAAAGTGAGAATTCCCAAAATGAGATGGATACCAAGAAGGAAATCTTACTGATGTGCTGATAGTTCCAGCCGTAGCTGAGGAGGCAGTATCCAGCCAGCAGCATGGAGATCCCAGCTGGTCCGCCCCTCTTCACATTGATGTATTTGTCGTAATAGCTGCTCCAGGCTGTTGGAACAGAAATGCAAGGGTCAAACCACGCGCAGGTCTTAAAGTTCACTGGTTTCCATGTAGCTTTCCAAAGCCAAATGGCTGGGTCTATTTATTAACTACTTTATCTAGATTGGCCACTGGGACCAGGCTATAGTAAGTAAATTGGGTAAGTAATTCTGCCTCAAAGCTGGGAATTTAGCCTCACCTTTCTGCAATCCTCCAAGCAGCCCCTGGGGAGAAAAGTTGCGAGTGGCCAGCCACACAGGCAGCTCCCCCAGCCTTACATCCATCAGGCGCCTTTCTGAGAGGGGACCTGCGCGATGAGAAATCAGAGCGGTCAAAGGTAGGAAAATGAGGGCAACGGGCACGGTGCTCGCGTTCCCTGTGCGGGGTGGCGAGCACCGAGCCGGTGTGTGGTACGGCTGCAAGTGACTTGGGCTGGGGACTGGCTGCTCCGAAAGGAAGAGCAAACTGTCTCTCCCACAAAGTGACTGGGCTCTGCCAGCCCAAACATGCAAGAGCCTGACTCAAGCCTAAATAGAAATGTAAACCACTGGTTTTGCAGGCTAGAGGGCTGGACAGTTAGTTAACCTCCTTGGATCCTTCCTGGATCGCTTTCTGGACAACCCCAGCAGCTTAGCATTTCCTATACCTCCTCTCCCATTCACACTGGACAGTTTACCCTGACAGTGCAGTAAATCTGAGCAGGAGACTCCTGTTTCGCATGTTACCTTGCTGTCCCTCTGAGAAATTGCCCTTTGTCTTCATTGTGATTCCCACGTCATCTTGGAAAGGCTTCCCTGGAAAAACACTCAGCCCATAATAATTAGGATATAAGTCTGGAAACCACTCCAAACCCATGGCACCTGCCTGCGCGCTCCTGCCAGGGGCCTGGAATAGACAGATGGGTTGGTTTTTGGA